CAGCCCGATTGAACTGTAGAAGATTGTAAAACTGAAAATTCCGCACGCAAAGGCTTGTTTAGGTCATCTGAATTGCATGTCTAATGCTGGGCGAATTGAATTGTGTTCACACGCATCAGATTGGCTATTAATGCCGCTTTGGTAATAACTCAATGTTAATTAAGCCAAGCTGGTTACGGCAAGCGATACGAACTGTATTGAATCAAATATTGCATGAGAAGTAATGTATTAGTTAGTATGTAGGGGGCATTCCAGCTAATATCAATATCAACTGAATGATCGGAGAAATGGCTTAGCAACTAATACGCTCTTTGAAATCTAACAGCAAAGAGAGAGAAAACTCGTTTATTCATCAGCGACTTGTTGTGAAGAGCGCCGACAAAAAAACCAGTAAGGACAATGCTTTTTTCGACGATGACTTTTTTCCAGAAATTATTCTATTTTTGGGAACTACATGGGGAACTATTTTGGGGGTACATTTTTCTCCAATTTCCAAATTAGATGTTAAAACGGGATGGCCAAAGTTCAATCAATAACCCTGTACATAGTTAAACGATGCGCGCTCTCCGCACTCTATTTCTAAAACAGTTTAACGTATAAAAAAATTTTTAAACAAAAGAATTTAGTCAGCTACAACATTCGTAATAAATTTAAATACCGTAAAACTTACGGGAAACGAAATATTTGCAAAAATACATTTTTCACCTTTGACCTTAGTTATCTACAGTCGCGTCCACACGATCTTAAGTAGGTTTTGAGACAAGTTTTAGGATGTTAAGGTAAAGGTTTATACGGGTTTACGGCTTGTTATCTTGAATTCCGAGTTGAAACTCTAATTTGACTGGACTATTAGGCCCGGTTCCACCATCTCCGATTAAAATGTTAATCATTCATTAAAAAAATATTTAATCAACACTTTGCGTTCCACCATAATTTTAACCACGAATATGGACACTTAATCAGTGGTTAACTTAATCGCCTAAAATGGCTGGTTATTGACGATAATCACGATATGGCGATGTTTTACCACCATCTGATGAGGATAGTGACATTCAAGTTGTTAGAAGACTCCAAATATTTAATCCGCGAGTCAATTATTTTGAAATCATGGACATCTTGAGCTTTTTACGCTATTTTGCTTATCGAAAAACACTGTCCAAACTTTACTGCTGGAAATAGAAAAAAAATTATGATAAATGAATAATAGTAAAATTGCCACATGTTCATTAAAAGGATTTTTTAGAAACAACACTATTCAACCCATGACAGAACTTTTACTTGTGTTGAGGTATTACGCAACTGGATCGCATCTTATCGCTGCTGGAGACTTTTTTGGACTAACCAAAACTAGTCCGCATCGAATTGTACAGTCGAGTAACTGCTGCAGTAGCTCGAAATGACATTAAACTCCCATTTACGAAAAGGGAAATAAGTGCAGCAGAAGTAATTTTTTATGCATTAGCTCGTTTTCCCAAACTTATTTCAGTGTTGGATTATACTCATATTAAACGCAGAAGTATTTCGTAATAGAAGAATATTTCTCTATCAATGTTCAAGCGACATGTGATTACTATTTTGAGGAAAAATGATTTCAGTTGATCTGTCAGTTGCTTGAACCAATCAGAACCGTGGATTCAAAAGAAATACGATCTTACCCGATGAGACTGATGATTAACCAACCGGAGTTAAAATGTTTGTTGTGGAACGCATGACAATTTAATTATTATTAAAGTGGTGATTAAAAAATGATTGTGATTAGTTAATGATTAGTTAATCACTCTTGGTGGAACCGGACCTTAATGTTTGAAAGCAACATAGCTGGATGCACATAGTCTAGTCAGAAAACTGACCGGCAGCAAAGCGATGGGGCCATTGGGGAGGAACCTCTGCCACGCGATCTCGTTGTTGAATTTCTGGAAAAATTAGCGTGGATCAATGGAAACTTGTGCATTCCTGGTAAAGGGCCTACTTCGCAGAATCGGACAGTGGCTACAACGCCCATTTGATTGTAACTCCAGCTGAGATAGTCAGCTTCCATAGCCTTTCGCACTGAGGAATTCACGCCATCGCAGCCTAACTGAAAATTGGAAAAAACTCGAATTTAGTCGAAAAGAACTGGCATTTCATGCACTTTCCTATAAATAAACAACCGATTTTGCAGTATTTATATTTCGTCCCCATTCCCCACTTGTAAGCAATAACAGTCCATTTAGCATCGCCTAAGTGAAGATTGAGAAAAGACGGCTTGTTTGCTTTACGAAACATTTTCAAGAAGCTTAAAAATAGCAAGTTTCCGACGTTGAACTAAGCGGAAAGCAATGCTAGTCTAGTAGGATAAATGTCCAGAAGACGTACAGTGTGTGTCGGTTGGTCAAGATCAGATTCATTCAATGTACGTATGTATGTGTGGTTAAAAGCTTGTTAACAAAAATTGTGAATAAATGTAAACTGCAAACTAGGTAGGTAATTCAAACTGGATCTGTTGCGTGGTTAGTTTACTTTATCAGCGTTCACTTAGTACGAATGGAAATCCTGAATCGAAAGCCTGCTAGTGGTGGGAATGTTTATGAATCAAACGGATAGTTTAGAATTCACAGCCTCTAAATGATAAAAAAATATTAAAAACCCTACATACTTTTACCAAAATTCAAATTATTGATTTTTAAATGAACATGGGAATGTTTTCGAAAGACAAATTAAAACAAAACATGAATCACTAGTTTTTCAGATTTCTGGTAAAAATTTATGAAAAATACATTTTGAAATTCGGGTAAAGTTTCCGTCCTTAACCGATTCAATAGCGTGTATTGCCGCTTCTAGCTCGAATAACGTCCCTCAAACGTCTTGGAATCCCATAAAAAAGGTTGTAATGAATTATTGTTGTGCCATTCTTGAAGAACCGCGTTTTCCAGTTAAGCCAAGTTCTCAGGAGTAGGATCTCGTCGTCGAATACGTCGTTTGAGCTGATCCCAAACATGTTCAATCACGTTAAGGTCCGGACTAGGAATGACACGAAATACTTGTCACAGGTATTTTGGAACAGATATCGATATGGAACAGTCGGTACCTGTTATCGATATTTAAAATAACATGTGTTATGAAATAACAGGGCTCGCCTACTATGCTGGTCAGTACCAGTACAACATAACTGGGATTTCGATATTTCAACAAAGCAAAAAGGCAAATACCTGCCTTTGTGCCTTTTGATTGGCCTGAGTTTTAGCGAAAGGAGATATTTTATTCTCATGAAGTGGCTTTGTATGTATGAGAGTGGGACGTGAGATCTGATGATTTTCGAATTCATACACCCATGATTCGGCAGATAGCAATATTCTCAATGAACAGAAAATATCGGGAACAGCAGTAACAGCCGTCTCCGATATTTTCTTTAATGTGACCAGGCCGTGAGTCACAGGCTGTTACTGACTGACTGTTTCTCGGAATTCTGAGCTGTTCCAAGGACAAGGAACACCTTGTCCTTGAAACTTGTTGTTTTTCGACCAATAATAGTGCTTCTGAAATAAAATAGCATTTGTTGCAACTGCCCAGTGGAGTACTGGACGAACTTCATTTAAATTTGTATAGGCGCTATTTACCTAGTCTGGACATGTTTCAATATTTGTTTATATAAAAAATGGTGTGCGTCACGGGACGCTCGACAGAAGTGATAACTTCATATATTTATAGAAACCATAAAATATTGAACTTGTTTAACGCATGATGGCAATAATAATTTTATTTTATAATTTTAATATTCTTGTTAGTCTAATAATTTACAAATGCATCAGGAATAGGTAAAATTTAATTTAGTTTTCTTTTGAATGTAAAATATCTTTTTTATTTGCAACATTTAACATTCTTTAACGAGATGTTGTACATATTGCTCTTATAGAGTTTGTGTAAACTCTTCTTCTTGAGTTTCTGTATTTCGTAGTTGTAATTTCTTGTTTGCTTTGTATAATCTTTGACGTTCAGCACTAGTTCGTGGTTGATGAAAGCTACTTTGAGTTGATCTATTACTTACTGGTCCTTTTTTAGCACGAAATAGTTTTTGGCGTTCAGCATTACTTAATACTTTTCGCATTGTAGCATGTTTTTGTGACTGCTCTTGTGTATGTTGCTCATGAACGTCTGCTACAACTTGTATCTGAATAGGACTAAAAAATCAATTAATTTTGGTGTTTAGAAGACGTTCTATCTGTTTAAAATAGACGGTAAAACGAGGAAGAGCTACAGAGACAGGATACAATTGACATACTATATGTATACATAATGTTAAGCCATCGCGCGTATGTTAAAAAAAAATATAACTGAACTAATCCAAGGCTAAAAAATTAAACTAAATTGAGAAGATTTAATCATAAAGCAATCAAAGAGTATATGAAGGGAAAAAATCCATTTTGATACTTGGTAAACACAATTAATCATACAAATAATATAGATAATTGAAAATAAGCCCTAATAAATTCGTTTGACATATTTTCTAACTATAAGCTGAAGAGAGATTCGTATCGTCTTAACATCAAGAATGCGTTGCGTGATAGAAAATAAGAAGAC